ATTGGTTCAAATAGCTTGACTAAGTCCATTCCATGTATGTAATTTTTACAAAATAAGATTTAAGGAATATAGACACAATTGCACTCATTTCTTGTCTCTACTAGTGTTCATTATGTGTTTCTTCTGAAATTAATTGAATTAATTTATGCATATGTATACTCAAGGATTATACTGTCCTTTAACATTTTTACTCATTCCTTCTTTTCCACTTGAACCACAACTCCATTTCTCACTGTTTGTCTTATTGGAAATCAGAGTCTTGTACCATTTCTTTCCCAGTTTGACTTCAAACCTTTTTTCATATTTACATTTCTAATAAATAAATGTCTATGAAAGGTACTATAACTTTAAGTAAATTAAAAATTTGGTTTACAATATAACAATATTTGGCAAAAAATATTATGTGTATGTTCTTTTGTTAGGGGCATGATGTTTAGCAAATGTTAATGTAATTAATTTCCATCTTTCTCATTATGCTAATCAAGAAATCAAAATATTCATCAATTTCTACTTTTTTTTACTATCTCCCTTATTAATTTAAGGTATGTCATTAATAGAATTGACTTTATATTATTGAGTAAGATACTGAATCCTCATTGTATGATGTATGTGAAGTTGTTGGGAGAATATGTGATTTCAGTGATTTTGCATATTATTTTGTAGTCCTTACTTTTAGTTACTTTTAGTTACTTTTAGTTAGGAATTCAGTAATCTTACACAACACTTTTTCTCTCAAATGCAGAAATGAAAAGTATATACAAATGGATGGGTTGATGTGATGAAGTAAGATTGGATGAATGGGAGCTAATAAGAAGGTAAATGCACATAAAGGAAAAGTTCCTAGATAAATAGGTAAGAGAACATAGATAAGAAGGGAACAAGGAAAATATGGAATATTTTTGATTGTCTTATAATAAAACTTTATTCATAAGAATCAGGCTGGATTTGGCCCTTGAGACATAGTTTGCCTATATTCTCAGGATGTGTGTGTGCATGTATGTGTGTGTGTGTGTATGTGTGTTTGTGTGAGGGAGAGAGAGAGAGAGAGAGAGAGAGAGATTGGGAATCAAATGCCATGTTTTTATCTGATTTTTGTTGCTTTAAAATGTCTTATATATATTCTATCAAACGTTGGTGATTTCATGTTCATGAATGAAAATAAAATAATGGAGACCATTAAGATCATTTAAATTTTTAGAGGAAATAACATGTAATGGATCCAAGGGCATTTGGACAAAAGACTTTATGTGCCCATATAAAATTAAGAAATGAAACCCTTTTTAACCATATACACTAGGAAAAATTTAAAGTAATACAAATAGTAAAATTTAAAAATCAATCTACTTAAAGATGGAAAAAAATAACATCTTTGTATTCTATTAGGAACAAACTTAATTTATTAAGCTAAAAGACATTAAGATGAACCCAAAGCTGAGTTCATATATCACTTCAAATGTTGGCTATACAAAAATGAATTCCCTTGGGTTCGGAGGAACATGGCAGAGGAGAAGCTGGAATCTAAACAAGCTCTCGCTCCTATAAAGAGCAGGTTTAGTATTCCAGTGAACTATCATAAGCTAGAGAATCACACCAAGTGTTCCATCACAGTACAGAGAGTTTGGCCAGAGAGGGAAAATCCAGGCAAGGAGACAGATCTGAGCACTTGCTGTTAGCCAAGGCTTTGGTGGCAGCACCAATGGTGGGTGTAGCCACCATCCCTACAACAGACAGAATCTGAAACAAAGGCGCAAGACTCAGAGAGTGAGCGGATTCTACTCAACACCAGCAAGAACTGAGAAGGAGCAGATATTTTCATCCTGCAGATCACAGACTAGAGACAGACCAGGAACCAGGACTCTGGTGTGAGTAGAATCCTGTCAGCCTCAATCCTTCTCAAGGAGTAGAGGAGGGAAGGCTGGCCCTTTCCCAGCTAGAGAGAGAAATGCCCCCTGAGGAGTGCCTTACTTCACTGGGTAAACAGAGCCAGAGGCTGCCCCTCCCTACAGCAGCCTGGACAATCAATTGAAATTCAGTAAACATAAACCCTGAGAATGGCTCCAGGCTGGGCTCTGTGATTGTCTCAGGGGCTAGCCCCTCAGGGAAAAGCTACTGTCTGCTGAAAAGCCACAACCCTACCCAGAACCTAGCCTCACAACAGCATCTTCAAACTAGAGGAAACAGCCATCTCTCTCTTTTATGATACTCAAAGCAGAGCTCTCTCCCATTGAACTAGCCTGGGAGCAGGATTACAAAATCCTGGGCAAACGAGAGCATTTTTCTGCCTTCTCAAACAACCTAACTTAAGAAACCAGTCAAGCCACAGGAAAACCAAACACCACAAGCAGACCACAGACTCCACCAAGAGACTGGTTACAGACACAGGGGAGACACAGGTTCTTCCCATTCCCTCCCCACACCCCCCTCCCTGGCCAAAGAAAATCAACAAAGAAATCTTTTTTGTACCTTTTTAATTTTAAATTTTTTTAAACATAGTTTTCTATTAGTTTTTTTCCTCTCATAATTTTTATTTTGGGTCAGTTGTGGGGCTTGAACTCTGGGCTTAGGCCCTCTACCTCAGTTCTTCAACTCAAGGCAAGCACTCATCTGCTTGAGCCAGAGTGTCACTTTTGGTTTTCTGAGTGGTTTATTGGAGATAAGAGTTTCACAAACTTTCCTGCTCAGGCTGGCTTTGAACCGTGATCCTCAGCCGTCTAAGTAGCTAGGATTACAGGCATGACCATTGGCTCCCAGCTTCCTCTCAAAATTTTTATTTTAGATGTGTGTGTGTGTGTGTGTGTGTGTGTGTGTGTGTGTGTGTGTGTGTGTGTTTATCTCTTCTGATCTTTTGGTCCTTTTTTATTCTTTTCATTTTTTTCTCTTTCTTTTTTATGTAACTTAATTGCTGTTCTGCTCATCCCCAGCTATATAGCCATCATTGATTATTAGACCTTATACTACATTGTGATACATTTAATCCAGAAAGTTATTACTCAATTCACAAAGTCTTGGGCTAAAATGATTCAACAGCAGTATTATCTCTTTATACCAATATAATTTTCAAGTAACTGATTTTAAGAATTTTGATTCTTTAGTTGTTCATGTCTCCTTTCTATCCTTCCCCTCCTCTCCTCCTGTCCTTCTCAAAATATCATTTCTTTACACTTACATAATTTTTAAGTGGTTTATTTTTGAATTTAAATTTGTTTTTCCATTTTTCCTTGTTTTTATTTTTTAATCTCTCTCCTATCTCCATTCAGTATTCCTTTTGTGGTCTCCCTGAATTCTTTCTGCTGTCTGGTTATGGATTTCATGAATGCCTCCATTGATCTTTTTCTAGTTTCATCCCACTCTCGCAATTCCTGTATTACTCTTTGATTAGCTTCCTCAGATTCACACAATTCCTGTGTTTCTCTTTGTCTGTTCTCAATCTGCTCACACAAATCCTGTACCAATCTTTGAGTACGTTTCTTAGGCTCCTGTATTAATCTTTGTTTTGCTTCCTCTCTCCATCATGCTCCCACTGAGTCCTCTGCAAGTTTTCAATCTTTTCATTCACCATGTTTACCAGAAGTGTTTGTAGAGCTTTCTTGGAACTCTCCTCTGTATTATTCATTAACTGTTCTGTCATCTGATTACCATGAGTGGCAGTTGAGATACCCATCATGCCATTCTTCTTGTGTTTTTCTGGCTTGTTCTCCACATTTGATATGAAAGCAACAACAATTTTGTGCTAGGACACTATTTTAGGGCGAG